ATTTGGAAAGTAAAGCAAAAATTTTATCAAGAATTAATGATAAGGGCTGGGCATGGTGGTATATGCATGTAATTCCAGCACTTGGGAGGCTGAGGCAGGAGGATAACTACAAGTGGGCAACCTGGGCTACAAAGTGAGTTCAAGACCAGCCTGAACTGTATAGTGAGACCCTGTCTAAAAAACAAAAACAGGGCAGGTGAGATAGCTCAGTAGAGTAAGCACCTGCCTGGCAAGCACAAGGTCCCGAGTTCAATCCCCAGTACCACAAAAAAACCAAAAAAATTATATTGGTATCAATTAGCAAAGTCTTAGAGAGAAGTTATCAGTAAAAACTTCCTTGAGGGGCCAGGGAGATAGCTCAGTAGAATAAGTGCTTGCCTGGCAAGCGCAAGGGCCTGAGTTCAATCCCCGGTTCCGGGGGAAAAGAAAAAACTTCTATGAAAGAGAGATTAAAATTTCTTTTTTTTCTTTTCTTTTCTTTTCTTTTTTTTTTTTTTTTTTTTTTTTTTTTGTGGAACTGGGGATTGAACTCAGACCCTTGCACTTGCTAGGGAAGTGCTTATTCCACTGAGCCATCTCCCTGGCCCCTTATTATTTTTTTTTTTAAAGAGGTATTAAAATTTTAGCAAAGACATAAGAACATAAAATATATTTAGGGAATAGGAAATGTTCAGTGGGTTTTAGTAAGCTTTCAGTGATATAACAGTGCCTCCACTTTAGTTTAAACATAGTAGATATCTAGACTTCTTGATGAATGTATAAAGTTCAGAACTTAGACACTGAAATACATTATTAAAAATATTTTTTGCTGAGCTAAGTATGATAGCACACACATATAATCCCAGCACCCAGGAGCCTGAGATAGGTGAATCAATGTGAGTTCAAGGCCAGCTGAACTGCATAGTGAGACCCTGTCTCAAAAAAAAAATTAGGTACTTGAGAATTACTCATCCGATACTTTACTATTTGCATTTTTCTTCACAGCTCTCTGATTTAAAGGATGAAGGAAATCATGCAGCACCTACATTTGGATTTGGAAGTAGAGCATTAGGATCATTTAGGCCACCAAGTAAGTGATACATTAAGCAGGACGTCACTCGTTCAGAAATGTGGGATTTTGTACGGTTCAGGTTACAAAGCTTGAAGTTCCCTTGCAGATTTGCCAGCTTCCATTCTGGAACCTCAGAACTCAGCATATCAGTATTTGTGAGAAGCAGGCTAGCATGGGCATATTGTTTGAAAGGGCTGTGGCTCAAACTTCACAAGTAAATTTTAGGAATGTTTTTTCAGGAGTTTCATAGGAATACACAGCTATAATAGCAGAGCCTTTGATTGTCACTATAGCTGTCTAGTGACAGTTCTGGTGAGATAGGAAGACAAACAAAAGTGAAAGATCACTCCCTAGTCCCTGAGATTTTTTTCTTAGGTGAAGGTGAATAACAGCAGAAATGACAAGAGTAGAGTTTAGTGAGTTTGTCCTAGCTTCTCATTTTCATTTTTCTCTTGCAACATAAAATTTCTTCCCAGAATGCCCAAGCATGGCAGAAATAAGAAAAGGGAGAGTAATGGGGTTTTATTTTATGACTATTAATATATGTTTTTTATTTAAGGTTTTCCAGTGAGTAACAACAACAGCGCTACTGTTCAGAGTTTTAGTTTTAAAACAGACCCTGGAATTGCCGCTGCTCCTGCTGGAAGCTCTTCAGTGTTTGGGAGTGTCCCAGCATTTGGAGCTGTAGCCTCTACTAGTTCTGCCAGTTCTACTTCCACTGCAGATTTTGGATTTGGGAAACCTCAAATCACTTCTGCGGCTTCATTTTCATTTAAAAGCCCTGCAGCCTCCAGTTTTGGGACACCTGGATTTTCAGGATTTCCAGCTTCCACGGCAGCAGGCCCTTTTGGAGCTCCAGTGGCCCCAGCTTTTGGAAGTGGCAGCTCTGTGGCTGGCTTT